TAGATTCCACTGGCTTTCACCCCTGAACTCTTCTGTGAAATCTAGATAAGATTGATCTAGCTCCAAACTAAAGTTCATTCTACACTTGAGTTCCCAGGATAGTTGCACCACAAGTTTGATACAGAGTAAATCTCGTTTGTCCTTCCTGTTTTAAGGTCAAATTGCATTGCACATGGCAGTTATATTGTTCCTACTGAGTATTTGGAACGTTTTAAAGCAGTCAGACAGAGAGGTAATGGATGATAAATCTCACTGTACCCACATGGTCCCTGCTGAAGGTGTGTTACTGCAACTGTTCAATACTTATCTTTTCATTTGGAAATACTTCCACCTGTCTCTTAACTCAGATTCCTAAGGGTAGGCCTGGGACTAAGGTTGGATTACAACTCACTGTTCCCACTTAAAGTAAACCACAGCTGGCCCATCTGGTCACAGGTTCTGGGAAGTACCATGGTACCCAGTATACCACAACCAGATGACATAATTTCATTCTGTTGGCACACTTAACCTTTGACGTCTATACATAAAATCTTTCTCATAAACTAATTAAGAATCCACATTGATGGGAGTGCCCCCTGATTAGGGTGATTCACACTGTTAGGCTGATAAGTTGCAAATTGTACTACAATAAACCAACATCACAGTTAAAGTGGTAAATAAAGACAAGTTGTTTCAAGTCATAGGAGTGTCAATAACCAGAGGGCACAGATATAAAATGTAGCAAAAGAACTTGGGGAGATAAGGAGTTTTTTTCTGCAGTAAGTTGTAATTTGGAAGGCAATGCCAGAAAGGGTAGTGAAAATAGATTCATTTATTACTTGCAAAAGAAAATTGGATGAAAAGTTGAGAAAATATTTGAAGGGCTACAGGGAAAGAGCAGAGACATGGGATTAATTGAATGGTTCTTTCAGAAGTTGGGCACAGGTATGACAGAATATGATCCATCTTGGCCTCCAGTGGTCCCTGGTGTTACAGATAACAGTTTTCAGCAAGTTCGATTCACTCCACGAGATATCAAGAAATGGTTGGAGACACTAGATTCTGCAAAGGCTGTGGCTCTGACAACATTTCAGCAATAGTACTCTGCTCTAGAACTTGCTGCTCTCCTAGCCAAGCTCTTCGAGTACAGTTACAGCACTGGCATCTACCTGACAATGTGGAAAATTGTCCAGGTTTGTTCTGTACACAGAAAGCAGGACAAATCCAACTGGCCAATTACCACCCCATCGGCCTACTCTTGATCATCAGTAAAGAGATGGAAGGTGTCATCAACAGTGTTATCAAGCAGAACCTGCTCAGCAATAACCGACCCAGTGACACTCAGTTTGATTTCTGCCAGGGCCACTCAGCTCCTGGCCTCATTACAGCCTTGGTTCAAACATGAACAAAAAAAGATGAATTTCAGAGCTGAGGTAAGAGTGACAGCCGTTGACATCAAAGCCACATTCAACCAAATGTGGCATCAAGGAGCCCTAGCAAAACTGGAATCAATGGGTATTGGGGCAAACTCTGCACTGGTTGGAGTCATACCAGGCACATAGGAAGATGGTTATGGTTGTTGGAGGTCAGTCATCTCAGTGCCAGGACATCTCTGCAGCAGTTCCTTAGGGTAGTGTCCCTGGTTCAACCATCTTCAGCTGCTTCATGAATGACCTGCCCTCCATCATAAGGTCAGAAGTGGGGAATGTTAGCCAATGATTGCACAATGTTCAGCACTATGCATGACTCCTAAGATACTGAAGCAGTCTATGTTCAAATGCAACAAAATCTAGACAATATCCAGGCAAGAGCTGATAAGTAGCAAGTAACATTCATACCACACAAATGCCAAGCAATGACCATCTCCAATAACAGACAATCTAACCACCACCCCTTGACATTTAATGGTGTTACCAGCACTGAATCCTCCACTATCAACAACCTGGGGCTTACCATTGACCAGAAACTCAACTGGACTGGCAGCATAAACATAGTGGTTACAACAACAGGTCAGAGGCTAGGACTACTGTGGTGAGTAACTCACTTCCTGACTCCCCTGTCCACTATCTACAAGGCATAAGTCAGATGTGATGGAATACCCTCTACTTGCCTGGATGGATGCAGCTCCAGCAACATTCAAGAATCTTGACACTCTTCTGGATAAATCAGCCTGTATGACTGGCACCACATCCACAAGCATCCACTCTCTCCACCAACTCGCAGTAGCAGCAGTGTTTACTATCAACAAAATGCTCTGCAGAAATTCACCAAAGATCCTTAGCTACTTCCAAACCCATGACCACTTCCATCTAGGAGACCAAGGACAGCAGATACATGGAAACACCACCACCTGTAAGTTCCCCTCCATACCATTCACTATCCTGACTTGGAAATATATCATGGTTCCTTCACTGTCGCTGGGTCAAAATCCTGGAATTCCCTCCCTAAGGGCATTGTGGATCAACCTTCAGCATGTAGACTGCAGCAGTTCAATAAGACAGTTCACCATCACCTTCTGAAGGGCAATTATGAACAGGCAATAAATGCTGGCCAGCCACTGATACCTGCATCCCACGAATGAATAAATTTTAAAACTGACTCTGTAATTAGGTGTTCATTAATGACGGTGGATGGGCTCACCAGAGATCCCTAATTGATTATGGTGTTTGGAAAGGGGTTAGGCTTATAGTAGTGAGTCCAGAACTGTATATCTCTGATCATGGTCATGTAACATTCCTTCCCCTTAGTCAGTTCTGTTAGTTGACTTTTTTTTTAATATTTCAAGGGTAGGAATTGGTATGAATTACATTTGATTTAGCAGGGGGTGAGTCCATAGCCAATCTGGGCAATTGTTAGTTCTGATGCAAACTTTGTCGGACCCAGATGTTGTTTCTTTTAATAAAGGAATTAGGGATCTTACCCTGAAGAATTTTATCGCATAAACTATTACCCCACAATTCTGTACCCCATGAAAATATAATGTGTCAATGAGTATTCTCTGAGATTTTAACCCACGGTCTATACATGGTGAGACTGTACCCCATGGGCCTCTATACTGTGGAGTTGTACTGTATTGGGTACGCTATTGGTTTCTAGAAGCATGGAATTGTATACTAGAAGATTATATTCTGTGGGCCTGTATCCCCAGGACTATTTCCCATGAGATTGTACTCTGAAACTATTTCTGTGAAACTCTATTTCTGTACTGTTCCCCAAGAGATTGTAGCCTGCAACTCTTCCCATTAGGATTACACCTTATCAGCCTACCCTGTAAAACTGTACCAGTACCCTGTGAGTCAGCATACATGGGAAAGCAACCTGGTGTTCTGTACTCCACACAGGACCTAGCCTCTCTAAAATCAAAAGAAAGGCACAACACAAACTGCACATCATGTATCTAATTTTATTTTTTAGAATACACTTTCCATATTCCATAGACATTTCCAACATGAACTCAGGGCTGAAATAATCTGTTACTGACAAGTTAAATCAGGCAAGGCTATAATTTTAGCAAAGGATAATTCTGGCAATGTGATTTAAGTAGTTGTCACAAGAATATCAAAATGATTTGTTACCTGGAAAGCACAATGCAGATTGGAGGTTGAGGCGTGATCTTAGACTACTGCTGCTGATTGAGACTCATTTCCTGAACAACTAATGTCTCTGAATTTTGGGCTTTGCAGTGATGGGGAGTTCTTTACCTGTGGGAAATGTAGCACTAAACATTATGGAGAAACTGGGTCAGCATCAGTGATCGATTAAAACTCTTCCTTTAAAGCTCAGTCATGGTCTTATTGAATGACAGAGCAGGATCAAGGGGCTGATTGGCCTACTCACCTTCCTATGTCTTATGGTCTTCCAGTGCCTAGCCTAAGAGGAGTCCAGTAGCCATTCTGTGAAATGTCAAATTTTGTTTTGTTTTGTGTTGAGGACCATTGTTCATTGAAACTGGATTCCCACTGCTCAAGCTCGTTTAACATAAAAAAAACCCACATCCGACAATGTTCAGAGACTCTGATTCCATCAGCTTGGTCTGGAATTCCAATGTCTGGGAAATGAAGTACGAGGTCTAACCCAGTGAATTTCCAGGTGTCCTGTATTCACATTGTATAAATAAACATTTCAGAACCTGGGAAGAGAGATGAGGCTTAATTCAAGTCTCCACGTTGTGAGGAATTCTTTCTCCACTTTTTTTTATTCACTCATGGGATGAGGGTGTTACTGGTTAGGCCAGTATTTATTACTCATCCTTAATTGCCCAGAGGGCAGTTAGCTGTCAACCATATTGCTGGTCACCATGGGTCTGGAGTCACATGTAAGCCAGACCAGGTAAGGACGGCAGTTTTCTTCCTTAAAGGATAATAGTGAACACATAGGTTTTTTCCCAACAATCAGCAACAGTTTTGTGGGTCATCATTAGACTTCTAATCCCAGATATTTTTTGAATTCAAATTCCACCATTTGTCATGGCAGGATTTGAACCCAGGTCCCCAGAATATTACCAGAGGTCTGGATTAACAGTTCAGCGTTAATACCACTATGCCATTACCTCCCCTAATAAACAGCTAGGTTACATAAACAGCTAGTGTAATCTCTTTCATATAGTAAAACATCCCAAGGATGTGTTGCAGCAGTGTCATCGGACAAAAACTGACACTGAATCAAAGAAGGATCAAGACAGTAAGTCAGATAACTGAAAAATTGGCTAAAGAGATAAGTTTTAAAGGAATGCCCTGGACAACTGAAAACTTGTCCAAGGCAGGGCAAATTTAGTGGGTGATACACAATAAGCAATAGAGGAACACAGAGTTCTCAACAAATAATTGGAGGTCATTAGAGAGTTAGGGAGAGGCAAAGCTTGTGAACTTTTTGTTACTATTAATTTTTGCCCATATTACTCCATTTGCCCATGAAACAGCCAATAAGACAGCAGGCCTCTAACGTTCACAAATAATGGAAAATAATCACTTACCAAACCACAGTAGCACAAAAACATAAGATGAGGAAAAAGCTTATGATACCTAATTTGCTCCATTCAGTCTCTTTGTGTAGTCCTGAATGCAAGATTGGAAATAAGCCGTGCTATTTTTCTGTGGCATAAATAAAATAATGTAACATTTTGTGAGAAAGTAGCCCATGGCAATACTGAAGGCACTAGTGACTATCAGGAAGGTCTGTATAGATGAGGTGTACCTCTCCTGATTTGGGGTGACCATCGACATCATGTACAGAATGTAATACACAAAGCAGATCATCATACTGAAGGCAATAGACTTTGCCTCGTTATAGTTCTTTGGAAGATCCCTTCCCATATAAGCAAAAAAGAAACATGCCACTGAAAGAAAAACAGTATAAAACAAACTGAGCAAAAAGGTAGTCATGCTACCATTGCCACAGTCCATGATGATTGCCTTCTCAATGATGTGACCTTTAGGAGTGGGTGGGTCTGTATTGAGCCACACACTGCAAATGACAATTTGGACAAAGGTGCTGAGGAAGAAGAAAAGATATTGCCCATTATATTTAACCCAATAGTCATGGGCCTTAGGCAGCTTAGTGGCCATTTTGAATATGCATATGATTTGAAATGACCTCACCAGTATACAAGACAGGCAGAGAGTGAACCTCACCATGAAGAATGGCAGTCTTATTTTGCAGAAGTTGTTTGGTTTGCCAATATAGAAATACACACAAGAAAAGCCACAGAGCATAGACATGAGTTTGAGAAAACATATTCTCCCACCAGCAGACTTGACAACAGGAGTATTACAATTGAGTGTGAAGATGATTGCTATGGTGATGGTCAGCACAATTCCACCATTTGCCAAGATCAGCAGGAAAATGGAGAAAATGCTATTCCATTCCAGATAATGGAGGTCCCTTTCCAGGCAGCGATGACTTTTAGGAGGTGACCATTGTTGCCAACGACAATCCGTGCAATGATAGGGATCTGCAAAAATCTCAATATTATTAACCCGCGAAAGGACAACATAGGTAGTAAAACAGAAACTGAATGGTGCACATTGAACATTGTAGTATGAAGAGATCCCTCAGTGGTCTTTTCTGAACAGTTTGCTTGTGGGTCTTGTGCTAATTTGAATAAGAGCCAATGGTGAAATATAGAACATTTTCCTTTGCAGGCCTTCATTGTCAACATCCAACATTTCTAAGGCAGATACAGAGTTTAGAATCAAAAACTACCTTCCATACAGTCCTGTCAAATGTCCCAGGACAAATATAGCATAAATCACATAAAGAGTAATGACACTCTTACATTTCCCCATGAAATAATCTGAGTTTGTTGGGAGTGGACAGAATGTTTGGGAATGGATCCCTTAGGGACTTAGAGAGAAGATCAGGTGAAGTGGGGAGGATTGAGGATGGAGCAGTGGCAAGAGGAAATTTAATGTTGAACCAGAATAGAAACACATTCAGATAGTTGCTTCTTTGTTACAGATTTACTTTCTAAAGTGTAGCTTACAATAGCACTTACGAAGCTATTCATGTTAGAGGTTCTTCAAGCAGACATTAGGGCCTTTGAAGCTTGTTAGTCCCTTTGTAAATGCAGGTAGTCATTGGTAAAGGACTCTTGCTTATCATAACTGAATTTGTTAGTCTCACCGTCTTCAGCTGACAGTGTGCATGAGTTTGCTGCCTGCCATTTTGGACACCAAAGAAGTTACTCAGCACCTGAGAAATGGGTGCAACAGAACCTAATTTTTGGATCGCTGAATAAATTTTATTTAACTCACTGTCACATTCAGTCCCAGAATGTGAAAGGACCCACACTCCACTCAGTTCTCTTTCCTAAAGAACGTTGGTAAAACATTTTAAATCAGAACCAATACAGACCGACAACAATTACCCAAATTTTTTTTAAGTGGCCCAATGAAGGTAGCCTGGTTGACCTCTGAAAGAACAGAGGAGATCCTGAATGAAGATCCTAGACTTTGCTAGTCAAATGTTTTCAGCAGAACAAGAGACAAATGACATAAATAGAGAGACTTCACCTGACAAAGGAGCAGCGCTCCAAAAGCTTATGATTTCAAATAAACCTGTTGACTATAACCTGGTGTCGTATGATTTCTAACTTTGTCCACCCCCGTCCAAAACTGGCATCTCCCCATCATGGCTACCACCAACTGATGAAGGGAAGCATGGTGTATGCCTTCTTGACCACCTTATCCTTTTGTGTTGCCAGTTTCAGGCAACTTTGGACCTGTACACCTAGATCTCTCTGTGGGCTGATGCTACCAAGGCTTCTGCCATTTATCTATACTTACCTACTGCATTAGATTTTCTAAAATGCATCACCTTGCATTTGTTCAGATTAAACTATATCTGCCATTCCACTGTCCAAGTCTCCAGCCTATCTATATTCATAGAATTCCTACAGTGTGGAAACAGGCCATTTGGCCCAACAAGTCCACACCTCCCTTCCAAAGAGCATCCCACCCCGACTCATTCTCCTACCCCTGCATTTGCCCATGTCAAACCCACCTAACCTAAACATCCATGGACACTATGGGCAATTTAACATGGCCAGTCCACCTACCCTGCACATCTTTGGACTGTGGGAGGAAACTGGAGCACCCAGAGGAAACCCATGCAGACACAGGGAGAATGTGCAAACTCCACACAGACAGTTGCCAGAGGGTGGAATTGAACCCAGGTCACTGGCACTGTGAGGCAGTAGTGCTAACCACTGAGCCACCGTGCCGCCCAAATCTTGCTGAATCCTCTGGCAATCCTCCTCAATGTCTGCAACTCCCCCACTCTTTGTGTCATGGGAAGGCGATGGCCCAGTGATATTATCACTGGACTGTTAATCCAGAGACCCAGGTAACATTCTGGAGACCCAGGTTCGAATCCCACCTCAGTAGATGGTGGAATTTGAATTCAATAAACATCTGGAATTAAGATTCTAACTATAACCATGAATATAGGAAAAACCCATCTGGTTCACTAATGTTCTTTAGGGAAGGAAACTGCTATCCTTACGTGGTCTGGCCTACATGTGAGTCCAGACCCACAGCAATGTGGTTGACTCTTAACTGCCCTCTGGGCAATTAGGGATGGGCAATAAATGCTGCCTAGCCAGCAACACACCTCATCCTGTGAATGAATAAAGGAAAAAAAAAACTTACTAATCATGGCCCCTACATTCTCCTCCAAATCATTTATATATATATTACAAACAACAGGAGTCCCAGTACTGATCCCCACAGCACCCCACTGGGTCACAGATTTCCGTCAGAAATTCATCATTCCACTGCTACTGTCTGTAAGCTATTTCTGTATCCATCTTACCAGCTCCCCGCAGATCCCATATGACTTCAGCTTTTGTATCAGCCTGCAATGAGGGACCTTGTCAAAGGCCTGCTAAAGTCCATTTGGACAATATCTACCATCCTTCCCTCATCAATCATCTTTGTCACTTCCTCAAAAAAATCAAGTTTGTGAGACACGATCTTCCCTGCACAAAGCCATGCTGCCTATCGCTGTTAAGTCCATTTTTTTTCCAAATGTGAGTTAATCCTATTCCCTAAGCATCTTTTCCAGCAATTTCCTATTACCGATGTAAGGTGCACCCGGGTTGTAATTTCCCGGATTGTCCCTGTTGCCCTTCTTAAACAAAGGAATAATGTTGGGATACTCTCCAGTCTTCTGGGACCTCTGTGACTAAAGAGGATACAAAGTTTTTGTACAAAGCTCTAGCAGTTTTCTCACCTGTATCCCTCAGCATTCTGGGATAGATCCAATCAGGTCCTGGGGAATTGTCCACCGTAATGCTTTTAAAACACCCAACACCTTCTCCTTCTTTATATTGATATGGTCCAGAATATCAATAAACCCCTCCTGAGACTCACCACCCACCATGTCCTTCTCCTTTGTGAATACCAATGCAAAGTATTGCACTCTCGCTCCACTCATAAATTCTCTCCTTTGTCCTGGAGTGGACCTACTCTTGCCCTAACTACCCTCTTGCTCCTTTTATATGTATAAAGCACCTTGGGATATTCCTTAATCCTGTTTGCCAAAGACATTTCACAGCTCTTTTAGCTCTCCCAATTCCTTGTTTGAATATTTCCTGTGATCTTTGTATTCTTTAAGGCTCTGTCTATCTTCAGTTTCCCAAACTTTATATAAGTCTCCTTTTTGTTTTTGTCTGAGCTCTCAATTTCCCTAGAGAAATAGAAGATATAAATAAAGCAAAAATGAGAGCAAGTGCAGAAAAGCTGCTTACTGACCACTTTGATTCTGAAATGTTCCAGAAGGGCAGTCTTCACAGATGAAGCAGCAAGAATGGATTCCTCTTAGAATTTTCTTCTGTCCTGGATCACACGTCACTGAACAATTAGATATTGGGGTCTGGGCAAAAAAGCACAAGAAATCATTCTTTGGTTCTTGGAAGGCCCCAGATGGTAATACTGGGGCTGAATTTCTGCAGATTGCCAGTCTGAGGGATATCTCCCATTTGATTCAGCAGAACTGATGAGATCTTAGTAAAAGAAAGTATAATTTAGACTGTTTTTCTGGAGTTCCTGTGCACCTCTGTCAACTTTTCATCAGAAAACCAGGAGAATCCCCAGAAATCCACCTTCTTTTAGACTCTGAGATAGTAGGAACTGCAGATGCTGGAGAATCTGAGATAACAAGGTGTAGAGCTGGATGCCATTTCTGAAGAAGAGTTTAGGCCCGAAATGTCAGCCTTCCTGCTCCTCTGATGCTGCTTGGCCCGCTGTGTTCATCCAGCTCTACACCTTGTTATCTCTCTTCTTTTAGACTCTGTTTTCTTTCCTCAAATCTTCATTTTGCTGTCAGGAATACAGCTTGGTAACAGCCATTGTCTGGAACCGTAATGCACCTGGAATCCTAGCCAAATTGAAATTCTTAAGTTCCAAAACTAGATGGTATCTGCCTGCTGACAATCTCTGATGCACCGAGTCACCCAGTCACAAAGTGTGAAAGGACAGCATCTGACAGTGCTACCCACATTCCCACTCAGACCCAGACTGTGAAAGAAGGGTATCTGATCCATTGAGTCCCAGTCTGTAAAAGGACATTTCAATCACAATTTTACAGCAGCCAGAATGGTGCTGAAATTCCATAGGCTCCATTCCTGTTGATTTTTGCCAGGAATGTCAGATTGTGCCTGCCAGTGACCTCTGCTGGTGACCTCACTACAACACGTATGATCAATGGGAATCCTGCATTGTAAGAAGCATCATTCTTCAGTTAGAAGTTAAATCAAGATCACATCTTCCTTATGAATCATAAAGATCCTGAAGCTTAATTTGAAGGTGTTCTTATTTAATATTTATCTCTGGACCTTCAAGAACAAGTTTATTAATTCTTCTTTTAGTTGGCTTTTGCTGGATCTACTTATATTTACTACATAACAACATCAAGAGCTAATTTACTGTTTAAGAAGCATTTTGAGGTATTTCCTAACGATAAGAAAGAAACTTACATTTTTATATTGCCTTTTGCAATATCAAGATGTCCTAAAATACTTAATAATATTCCTTGCAATGTAGGAAATGTGGCAGGCAATTTGTGCACAGCAAGCCCCCACAATCAGGAGAGACAGATGACCAGATCATCTGTTTAACTGTCATTAGCTCAAAAAAAATGGCAACTATCCTGCATTTCTTATAATATTGATAAGGGATCCTCCAGGGAGGACAGCAGAACCTCACTTTAGGATCTTATTCAGAAGGCACCTCCAACTGTACAGCACTGAATTGTAATGTAGTGTCAACCTGGATTGTCTTCCAAAATTTTTAAAATTTTAAACTGGCACAAGGGGAGCACCAAGAGGATTCAATACCTGTGTTTATACACTTCCAAAAGACCTAAATATAAGCGCTTGTGACCAGCATAAAAGAAAGAAACTTTGTCTAGATTCTTACCAAGTTATTTTCCCAATTCCAGTGGATCAAGGACGAATCGATTTTTATCTGTCCATCATTCGGCAAGTAAGAACCAATGGTCTTAAAACGGACTTGAGCCCTCATCCAGTCCCATAAGACAATGTCATAACCACTGGGTGGATCTCCATACTCGTCAAAGTAGAAAATGTCATCATGAAGATTAAATTTCACCTCCTTCAAGCTGCTGAGTAACTGAGACACAGACTTAACATGATAGCTGACAATAGTTCAGGTTAGAGTTCAGGCTGAGTTAATAGTTTGATTTAGATTAAGTCAGGTTGGGAGGATTGAGCAGAAGGGACTAGTTGCTACTTTATGTGTTTATCTGTTAGAGTGTGTATTTGGCTGAGTTTTTTGAGCCTTCTAGTGCAGTTATTTTAGCCGATATCTTACTATTTTTGATTCTGGTTTGGGTCTGAGTTGTACTCCATTTCAGTTCTCATTGGGCTCCTGTTACCTGTGATAGATTTATTTAGGAGCATAGAATTTGACAGTACAGAAGGAAGCCAGTCGATCCAACATGCCAGTACTGGCTCCCAAAAGGGCTACCCAGTTAGAGTTATCCAGGCCTCTCTCTGTAGCCTTCTAAATTCACCACTTTCAAATATATGGAACAAAAACAAAGACCCTTAGGTCACCGGACCCGAAAGGTTAACTCTGTTTTCTCCTTCACAGATGCTGCCAGACCTGCTGAGCTTTTCCAGTTACTTTGTTTTTGTTCCTGATTTACAGCATTCACAGTTCTTTACTTTCAAATATATATCCAGTTCTCTTTTGAAACCTCTATAGTATCCAACTACACTACTCTCCCAGGCAGTGCATTCTAAATCCTAACAACTCTCTGAACAAAAGTGTTTTTCCTCATCTCACTTCTGGCTCTTTTGCTGACAATCTTGATATTGTAAACCCTAGTTACTGACATAACAACAAGTGGAAACAGAATATCCTTCTTTACCCTGTCAAAATTGTTCATAATTTTGAACATCTCAATAAAGTTACCTATTAATTTTCTCTGCTCCAAGGAGAATAAGTCCAAATTCTCTAATCTTTCCTTGGATGTAAAATCCCTCATTCCTGGTTTTATTCCAGTAAATCTCCTTTGCACTCTCTCTAAGTGTTAACATCTTTCCTTAAATAAGGTGCCCAGACTGAATACAATACCCAAATGTGATCATTTGGGTTGGTGATTATGGATGTAAATTAATCCCCATAGGGGCTAAGTATTTTTGCATTAAGAGTTGCGGTAAGAGGCATGTTCCAGGTCGTGGAAAGGGGCAAATTTATTGGTTTTAGTAGTTAGTCTTACATATTGGAGAATTCACAGGTTGCTGCAACCTTTCAAGGTCTTTGTCCCAGACACAAACAGTGGCTGGTGACAAGAGGTACTCCAAGCATTGCTCCTGACACTTTTATAATGTCCTCAGATTGACACAGTGAAGATACAGCACTGCTCAGGCTTCCATAGGCCTCAGGCAAAGGTCTCCTTAAGGTAACTGGATTACTTTGGTGGAATCTTGTGGTATGGCCAAGAAAGGTTATGCCCCATCAATGTGGCATGGTGTGCCCTTCAAGACTGATTTGATTTTGATTTTATTGTAATGTGTAGTCAAGTACAAAAGCACAGGAATACAGTGAAAAGTGTATGTCAGGCACACAAGGCACCATCTTAGGTACAAATACTCAGGTATAGAATCTTAAAAATAAGATAGAAAGAAAGAACAAAGTTAAAAGTCAAACACTAAAGTAATTATAGTACAGTGACACCTTAGTTTTAAAGTAAAAAATAAAGAATAAAGCTGAAAATTCAAACATTACAGTCTTACTTAAGTGCTTAGCTGTGGTGGGACCGCACTTCAAGGAATCACTTCGAGAGTGGAAGTCCACACTGATGCTACACCAGGACGAGAGATTGCCACATACCATAGAATCATAGAATCACCGAGAGATCAGCACACCAGGCCAAGAATCTGCCATGCTGGGCCAAAAGACTGCCATGCTGAGCCCAGAATCTGTCACATCGGGCCAAGAGACCACCACACCAGGCCAAGAGTTCACCATGCCAAGCTCTAAGACTGCTATGACAGGCCAACAGCCTCCCATGCCGGGCAGAAAGTCTGCCTGGCCGAGGGTCCGCCACATTGGTCTGAAAGTCCACCATGCTTGGCCGAAAGACCACCATATGGAACTGAAAATCTGCTACGCCATGCCAAAAAGCACAACGTTTGGCTGAAAGTCTGTTTCACCGAGCCAGAAGGTGACCCCGCCAGGCCAGGAGGCCACCACATCAAGCTGGGAGGCTGCCTTGCCGAGTCTGCATGGAGTGCGTGGCTGAGAGTCCATTGCTGGGAGAAGAAAGAAGAGAGAAGAAGGAGAAAAGAGAAAAAAGGAAAGGAAACAGATGGAGTGGACAAGCTGAAGTGTCCTACTCTGCGCCCTAACCCTAATCATAATCCTAATCCTAACCTAATTGGAGATGACACAAAGCGGATTCCTGAATACAGAGGAAATGGGGATCAGTAACAGTCCTCTGAGGATGAAGATTAGGATCAAGATCAGGATGCTGTCAAGAGGGCTGTCCAAGAAAGATAGAGTTATGCATTATTAAACCCAAGAAGCCAGAGATAACCTCTTTGAAACCCGCTTTCAGGTTGAATGAGCTGGATTTCAACTTTGTTTAATTGTTCTAACGTTCCGTTGCTAATCTGGCAAGCAGCCATACTTACTGCAAAGAACATATGAACCTTGTTATTTTTGCAGGCCTATATTTTCTATTGCAGAATAAATGTCTCATTATTCTTCTAATTGTGCGCTTGATATCTTCAGATGACTTCACTTTCAAGGATCCACGTCTGACCACTAGAGGAAAAGCAGCAGCCACTGAGAATATGAACTAACATCACATGGTGCTAAGATGAGTTAAACTTCAGGTAACATATCACATCTGAGTGTTGTGCAGTGAAGTCTCTCGTAATAGACAGAAAGTTGAGAGTAATCCTAAGGACTTTCCTTTTGACTTATCCATCATTATTTCAGTGTTTCCAAACACACACAGACTGCTAAGTTACCTTGAACTGCTTGAGCTTTCAGTTGGACATTGCTGCTAGACTGAATCTGCAGCAGTTGGTGAGGGAACCAACAAGATGGAAAAACATATTTGACCTCGTCCTCATCAACCTGCCTTGCCAGATGCATCTGTCCATGACAGTTCCATCAAGAATGATCAGTGCAAAGTTCTTGTGGCGATGAAATCCTGCCTTTGCATTGACAATACCTCACATTCAGTCATCTTTCTTTGGATAATTCTTTGGTTGGTAAGAGAGACAAGGTGTTCTGTTCACTCATAAAACATCATTAACTTATCAATTAAAAATCACAGCTTACAACAATCATTACAGAAAAGCAACTCTGGTTTTCTGCATGTTTACACTAAGCTTCGACTACAAAGAATAGAGGGGCTACCCTAGACGGGGAAGAGCTGGACACCTCTCTCTCTGTAATTTGTTCCGAGCTTTAAGATGTTCAGTTACCTGAGAACCATCATACAGTTCTTAGCAGGCAACAATGTCTATGTTATTGATAACTGGCCACCAATCTATAGACTAGTGGTTCCCAACTTTTTCAGTATCAAGGCACGCTTCAATGAAACAAACAGTTCCATGGCACACCCACTTTTTTCAGCTGAATTGCTTGCTCATAAATGGCACATTTACTTGCTTTAATATAGTTACAGCCTCACTAGAGAGATTTGCAACATAGTACATGCAACAAACGATAGAAGGATCAAAAGCATTAATGTTTCAAATCCAACAGCAAAAATAAACCATCTTTGACTACAAGTACATGTTTTCAAAATCTGCTCAACTCAATGCAAAGTAAATTGCAGTTTACTCAGTTAGTTGAAAACCTGGGCCTGCTGGTGTGTGTGGTATTCGCAGGCTAGGCATGTGTGGTCTGCAGGCTTGTGCATGGGCAGTCAATACGGGTGTTGGCAGATAGGGTCATAGAGAATTCGGCATGGAAACAGACCTTTCAGTCCAACTTATCCATGCCAAACAAGTTTCCGGTTTGCCTGCGTATGGCCCGTATCCCTCTAAATCTTTCATATTCATGGACCTGTCTCTCATAAGCCTCTCCTTATAAATCAAACGCTCCAGTCCCAGTAACATCCTTGTAAATCTTTTCTACACCCTTTCCAATTTAATAATATCCTTCCTATAACAGGGCACCTTCAATAATAGACACAAGGTACCAGAAGAGATCAGAAACACAGATGCAGCTTTAGTGCTCAGGTATACTGGCACTGCTTCCGCAAACTTTAATGGGGTACTTCTCACCTCATTGTGGCACACCAGTTGAAAAACACTGTCATTGATAAATCAACTTCTTGTTGTCAACAAAAGCTGCTTCAGGACACCCCTTCAACTCCAAATTGTCTGCAACTCAAACTTCAGTTACTTCTCGTTCAAATAATTGTTCACGACACTTGCTATGGGTGTCAGGTTACTGGCTTTTCAAATTTGCAGTCACCCTTTCAAACACTGAGTTTAAAAGTTCTTTCTCATTTCAGTCCATAGTTTTCAAAGCACAAAATAAAAAGACACAGTCCTTACAATGGAGCAGCCAGATCCACACATGCTGAAGCCAGCACAGTGCTGATAGTGTTGCTGGACTCCTCTGTGCTTCAGCCCAGCTTACTGAATGCCTCTGACAAACCTGCCTGTTGTTTCTGTGCCTGTCTTTGCATTTGATGAAGTTATTATTGGCTGAGACCACAGGATTCACTTTCTGCCTGGGGAAGAACAGGTGCCTGCTATCCAGCAAACCTTCAGTGCTAGATACCTGAGGTGTTTCTACTTCAGCCAGCTGCAGAGATGCATCAGTGATGTACTTACCAAAATGCACTCCTGAGTCTAATCTGGAAGAATACCTATTGAGTGAAAGTCTGTGAGCCAGTGGAGGGTCCAGGTGTAAGCCATTGCTGGTGCATCCTCTGAGGGTTCAGTAGCTTTCCCCCTTAGAGGTAGAAGTGGACTTGAGTGTCTTCTGTGCTGGCCTCTTAGTGCAGGTTTGCTGGGTATGGCTGGTGTTTAAGTACAAGAAGAGATGGAATTAGTTGTCAAAGGGCAATAAAAGCTTGTGCAGATTAAGAATGCAATGAGAGAGGAGTGTGGCATAGCATAATGAAGTTTACTGGGTTGGTTGACCATCCAAATGTCCTCACAGAGTGGTTAAGCTTTTCCATGACTAACTCAAGAATCTTCTCCTTGTGCTCCTTATACTCACTAGAATTTAGGAGATCTATTAAGTTATATAAGATGCTAAAGGACATTGACACAGAAGACTTAGAGCAGATTTTTCCCCTACAGGATCAATTTAGGACAAGAGGTGATATTTTTAGATTGAGGGGTGGAAGATTTAAAACAGAGATGAGGAGAAATTACTTCTATCAAAGAATCATGAACCAGTGGAATTCACTACCCCAGAATGCGGTGCACACCAGGATATTAAATAAATTTAAGGAGGAGATAGACAGATTTTTAATTAGTAATGGGTTAAAGGGCTATGGGGAATAGTCAGGAAAGTGGAGCTGAGACTGAGATGAGTTCAATGATGATCGTATTAAATAGTGGAACAGACACAAGGGCCTGAATTTCCAACTTCTGCTCCTTATGATTTTTGCACGGAGTGAGGCACCCTGGTCTTTGCCCTCTCAACCCAATTGTGGGCTGATTTTTCCTGCAATGAGACAAAGGGAGGGATTGAATATTATTGAAGTGAATGAAAAAGCAGTTAGTGGGGAGCCCTGAGCAGGAGAGATGGTGAGGTATCTCCAGTGAGTGGGCAGAAAGTGCAGACAGCAGGAAGTTTTAGGAAGATGAGGTAGGTGAGAGCCATTGAGTGAATGTGATGCATGCAATACCAAGAGCTATAGTCCATGAGCCTTGGTGAGAGGCATGTGCAGTGGCAGTTAGTGGCAGAGTTAGACTAAGTGGTGGCCCTGAGAATAGACTTAGCAGAGAGAAGATGACGGCGCCTTCCCTTGTAGAGTTGAGAAGATTATTGCCCTTGTTCCTGCACTATTGGGTGTCCTTCTTCACTTGGGACACAGTACAGACTCAGGCAGCTATTTGGGTCAGGGCTGGTTTGGCTTGGTGGTGTGGACTCCTGTGATAGTCCACAGGCAAAAGGAGAGCCCTCCTCTCCACTACCATATCCACCATCACCTGCAGATCCCTGTCCACAGAACAGGGAACGATCTTTCCTTTTCTGTGTGCCATAATGATCAAGCACTGCAGTGTGAGGTCCAGTTCCAGGCTTGCAGCATGTGAGGTGGTATGCAGCTGGGCTTCAAATATGGCATTAGCAGTATGACTGCTGGAAGGTCCCATCAGTAGCGTACAAGAAAGGCAGTAAGAGCTCAGTTCCATATTTAATGAGTCAAAGAGCAGATGATTGCATGATACAAATCATTGACAAACACTTCAATTGCAAATGGGAAAATTTCACCCCACATAAATTCATGCATTTAAACAAGGAGGAATCATTGCTGATCTGTGAAGAGTTAGGTGAGGTGCTTAAACTGCTCAAGTTAGATGAGAGCACCGGGGAAAAGTTCTTGGGGATGGACAGTGAAAGCCATTAGAATGGGTTGAAGTGACAGGTGTGTACCTGGAGGGACAAACAACTGAGATACAGTGAGGTGGGTTTCAGGGACATGGTGAGGCTGGCAGGTGAAGTGAGTGATATTATGAGAAGTTAAACATGATGAAATATTTATCGAGAAGATGTGATTTAAAAAAGGAATAGTGCTTTTGAGCCTATAATTTCCTTCTTCTACTTGTTTTTATTTTTTTTTTACTGTTGTGTAAAGAAGAGTATCGCACCAATAACATACACCTACCTGCCAGGGAAGGATACTCTGGTTTTTCTCACATTGTGCTACATTGCACTGGAGGAGATTGTGCAATGCATGGGCAACAGCATACACAGCCAAGTACACATTGTATGAAAGCCGCTTTTCCAGTCTGGATAATGAAGAGTTCAAATACTTGGCGTTCAGCCAATTAAATTGGCTGCATGCCTACTCATAGCTGCCTCTACAGTGGTTACTCTCTCCCAACTCTGAATCTGGCAACATTCTTGGATTAGTGAGACTCAAAGGTTTGTCCAGGAACTCTTCAAAATGTGCCATCTGCCCTTCCTTGATTGCTGTACCCATAACCATCCCAATACTCTCAATGTTTGGTATGCTTGTTAATCCTTGTGATAAAGAAATAGCTTCATTTATGATCCATACTTTGGAGGTGAGATTTTGTGCCACGACAAGACTGAAAAATACCTGCGCCATTATCTCATTGGAAAAAAGTACGGTGACATTGACAGTGTTACTGATATTGTTGATCATTTGGATAACAAGCTCAGGGGAGGTAGAGATGATAGCCTGATACGCAATGCAGATTCCTGCTGCTGAGGTCAGTTCCACCACTTTGTTAACCCCTTTGCGCCCGTATTCATTATCACTCCTAATAACAGCAATCCAATTCCAGTTAAATTCCTGTATCAGTAGTGCCATTGCTTTTGCTTGGTTCTTGTCACTTGGGATGGTCCGGAAAAATGATGGGAAGCGCATTTTATCACTCAGAATCTCACCAGATGCCTGGTAGCTGATCTGCAGAAGCAGAAAAAGAAACTTGCATTTATATAGCACCTTGCACAATCACAAGCATCTCAACGTGCTTTACAAATAGTAATCTTTAAGTGTAGTTACTGTTGCAATGTAAGAAACATGGCAGCAATTTGGGCAATGCAAGTTCCACAAAAGGCAAGAAGTAAGCGGTCAGATTATTTGTTCCAATGATGGTGGTTGAGGGATAAAATTGTAAAGGTTACCTGGGAGACCTCTCCTTCAAATCATGCTATGTGATCTTTTACACTCATCTGAGAGGTTGTATGGGGCCTCAGTTTAATTTCTCATCTAAAATATGGTACCTCTGACAGTACAAAAATCCCTCAGTACTGCCCTGTGTTGCCAGCCTGAATATTTGTGCCCCAGTCGAGTTGGGCCTTGAATCTACAACCCAGTGAATCAGACATAAGTGCAATTAGCTCAACTTTAGTTATTTTACCTTTGCTTGAATTGTTCACACCTTAGTGTAATTTTATGCTTTCTAATTCAAAGAAAATATGATGGGATTTCTAATTTTCCAATGGCTCAGTTACCAAATACACCATTTGGTGAACAAAAACTTGCATTTTTACAGTGCCTTTAACATTAAAAAAAAGTTGCATTATCAAAATGATAGATGTCCAGCCAAAGAAAGAGGTGTTTTGTGGATTATCCAAAAGCTTTTGCTTTCAGGGAGGTCTGAAAAGAAGAGAGACAGGTAGAGGTTTGGGGAGGAAATTCCAGAGTTTGGCACGTGGCAAAAGGTATAACCAAAAATGGTATGATGAAAGGGTGGGGATGATCCAGAGGCCAGAATTGTAGCAACAGAAATCAGATTACACACAACATTACCTGAAATTTAGAAAGTTAAGGAGTGACTTGATCAAAGTTTAAGGTATTAAATAAGACAAATAAGAGACAGAAAGTATTTACACTGGCTAATGTAAATAGCATGGGGCATGGCCTAAAAATAAAATTACCTCTTTCAGTTACTAGAAATAAGTGTGGTAAAAGTTTAGAATCTCAATTCCATATGGCATTCAATGCTGGTTCAACCGTTAACTTAGATGGAAAGAGGAATAAAGGTACCCAGCCAGAAGACTAATGAAATAATTGAGCCTTGAGGTGATAGATATGGAGAAGGATGTTAACTAAAGTAGAAATAGTGAAGAAAGTTGGTAGTTTTTACGATAGAGAGGATATGGGATTGAAAGTTCAAACTGGCATCAAATAAAAGGCCAAGATTATCACAATCCGGTTTGGCTTTAGACAGTGGAAATAGAAAAAGTTAGAGTTAGTGGCAAAGGCTTGAAGCTTATGGCCAAAGACATTAGTTTCAGCTATCATAGCTCAGCTGTGATGCCATGAATCATTGAATATTCTGCCCATATCCACTGCTCACACAAAATTAATAGTCATTTGTCTGAGATTCCAGAAGACTCAGGAACCTTTCGTAGGGGAAAGAACCTGAAACCCAGTGACAGTCAGCACCCTCGAGGGAAGTTGATGGAAACTGAGCAATATTTTAAAACAAAATTGACAACACAGCATGCCTGAACAGTGTAACACAGCATGCCTGGACAGTGTAAGAGTGACTAAGCATATCTGTACAACTTGAAGTCTTTGCAATTGATATACATCACTAAAGCATATAATAAACTCACCTGAGGAACAAGGAAGAAACCTAACAACCTGGCAATGGTAATTGCTACATCTGTTGAAGGTGGTCCAATGACAGCAATTACCTTGGGTTGGTAAACTGTGTAATTGCTTAATATCTTCAGCTCTGCTCCTTGCTTGCCTGAAAGGAACCTGAATATGGCTTGGATGTCCACAACCTCAAAGCAACTGTCAGCAATATCATAACCGAGAGTGATGCTTGGCAACAAATCAGTTGAGTTGTTAATATCCTCAACAGCAAATCTCATTGCTTGGAAGGCAGTGAACGTCTTTGTTCTGAATTTTGATCTGCAAAAGAAAGTAATTTATTTCAATTAAAGTGCAATTAGTAAGAACTTCACAGTAGTTCTCATGAATGATGTCAGAATCAGGTCCACAGGTATCAGCTATTTGCTCCAACATATGCAGATAGAAATTTTGAGAACAAAAAGACCAAGATCGATCTATTTCTTTATCACTTTTCTCGCCTTGAGCCTATAAGCTGCTTTTTTAAAAAAAATGTTTATACATTCTGTCCTACTCTGGTTATATTTCTTAAGTAGCTGCCATGCAATGTGCCATATCCTTTTATTTTGTAAGCCTATGTATTCTCTGTCTAGAACCTCCCTCTTCTAATTAATTTAAAACCTTCTTTGCAGTGTAGACATTTGATTCTAGTTAATTAATAATTTATGAAAAGCTAAAGAGAATGGTTTGACTGGGCCTGTTTGCACAGAGTATAGAAAGATGAGAAGGAATCTAATTGAAACATATAAAATTCAAGTAGGGCTGGACAGACTAGAAGCAGGGAGGATATTTTACCTGGTTGAAGAGTCTAGAACCAGGAGTCACAGTCTCAGGCTACAGATAGGCCACTTAGGACTGAGATGAGGAAATATGCCTTCAATCAGAGGATAGCGAATCAGTGAAGTTCTCTACCATAGAAGGATGTGAAGGACAAGTCACTTAATATATTAATGAAAGTAATAGATAATTGTTTGAATTTTAAAAGCATGAAGGGATAAGGGGAGAAAGTGGGAATATGGCATTGATCCATTGAGAATCAGCCATAATTGCATTGAATGGCAGAGCAAGCCGAAAGGACCGAATGGCCTACTCCTGCTCCTAGTCTTTTTTTCTATGATTCACCAAGACTCTGGTCTTGAACATAGTTCAAGTGAAGACCAGCTTCCTCCACCCAGTGCCCCATGAATGGTAATCCATTCCTCCAACGCCAATCTTTGAGACACATATTTAATTCATTGACTTTACTTACTTCAGTTTTCCCATGGCACAAGTAACCAGGATTATTCCCTTGGAGATTCTGCTTTCTAATTTCTTTCAGTAGAACTTCCTTCTAGTCCTATCAACATTGTTGGAACCAAAGTGGAAAACAGGATCTGGATCCCTGCCCTCCCACTCAAAGTTCCTCTCCAATCCTAAGATGTCCTTAACTCACTGCACAGGTAACGCAGCCTCCGAGACTCATACTAAAGACTATAGAGAAGAGTATTTATTCCACGAATTATACTGTCCCTACCACTACCACTATGTTCCCATCGCCCGTCCCATAAATAGCTTCTTGTACGACAGTGCTGTTCTCTCACATTCTTTGCAGCTCCCACTCTAGTTCACACAGCTTGAAAGAACCTCATTACTTATAGACAATTGCAGTGGCTGAGACTCCTCAAACGCTGTCCTTTGGTTCCCATACCTGCCTTATCTGCAGTCACATGCTCCTATCCACAATCATAGACCAAATTTGAATGACCTGATCTGAGGGATAGGACTGTCTCCTAGAACAAAGTGTCCAGTAACTCTGCTCCTGTCTGATGTGGCACAATGTCTGCAGCTTGCACCTCTACCCCTCAACTCAAATCCGAAGTTGCTCGAGCTGTAAACACTTGCTATGGATGCGTTCACTTGGGATTGCCTTGTTTTCCAGCATCTCCCATACATTGCAGCAGCAACATCTGCCATCTCTATTTTATTTAATTTATTAATTAATCACTTTAGTATCTCTGCTGTTTACACCTTTTTTTAGCAGCAGTATCAATCTTGCTTTTAACAAGCTATTTTTAAGAAGAGAGAAGTATAGGATTGGAAACGTAAATACAAATTAACGATCATACATTTAATTTAAATTCTATAAATACTCATCAACTCTACACACAATCAGCTGCTTTGTGTAGGCAAAAAACAACCAAATCTCTTTCCCTCCTCCTTGTAACCTCTTGACATGCTCGACTCTGGTATTCTATTGAAAGTTACATTAAGTTGACTACTTATGTATGTTCCCATCACAAATGTTCTATCTGAGGAAGTTTCAACTGGTTCTTAATTAAGCTATTCTTTCACTGCAACCGTTGAAAAATTAACCCTGCTTAAGAATAAATAGTGTGGAGCTGGAGAAACACAGCAGGTTAGGCAGCATCAGAGGAGCAGAAGAGTCGACGTTTTGGGTCAGGACCCTCCATCGGGACTGGTGAAGGGTCCCGAACTGAAACGTCAACTCTCCTGCTCCTCTGATGCTGCCTAACCTGCTGTGTTCCTCCAGCTCCACATTGTACTGATCTGACTCCAGCATCTGCAGTTCTTGCTATTCCCTGCTTAAGAATAGCAATGACGGAATTTAGATTTAGATTAGAACTGTAGATTTCAGTTAATAGCCAACTACAAACTAAATTAGGCTAAATTAGGCTTGAACAAATTAAAGATTTAGACTTTCTTACCCAACGAATGCATGTACTCAGGCCCAAGTTGAACTGAGTTTGCTACTGAATTTATATGCTGCCAAAATAAAGGGTTAAGTTGGGGTAGGCAGGCAGTCAAGAGACATCAAATGTCAAAAGATCTCTTGGCTTTCTCTCTTATTCAGGTGGTCTTTGCCTGGCACTTTTGTGGCACAAATGCTGCTTGCTACTTACTATCCCAAGAGTGGCTGCTGTCCCAATTTTGCTGCATGTGGGCACAGTTGCTTCATTATCTGAAGAATAGTGAATAGAACCGAACATTGTGTGATCTTCAACAAATATCCCTGCCTCCTATCTTGTGAGGAAGGTCATTAACTCCTTGATAGATTCCAGCATGTTACTCACTCTTGGGCATCTGTTATTTTGTATGTAAACTACCTGAGCACCTTGATTAGATTCCAGCCCATAAGTTAAGCCTGGTTATCTCTAATTTTATATACGATCGTTCTAAACCCTAGTAAGAGTCAACATCTTGAGGGGAAATGTGAACCTGAACCCTGAAGAGAATCAGTACCTTCAAGAAGTGGGAGCTCTACAGTCACTGGTGTACATAATGTCTGGACTCACACAATGGCTGTAACTTTGGATTGCTGTACACAGCAGCTGTAACTGTACTTACACAATGATTGCTATACACCTCCACTATGAGTGATGTATGTGGGGTGTATATGTATTCTCACACTTTGATAATCATAGAGCCTCATTCTGCCTTCATGCTTTGTTTGTACCTAAACCTATGCCGTGACTTGTATAATATTCCTTCAGGGATTAATTGCAGGTTGCAGCATAAATCTATTCAACTGTTACTTACTTTTCACATTTTGGAACAACAGGCTTCAATCGATCAACATCATCCAATGGAGTAAGATGAATAGGGAACAAACCTCCAAGCACGTATTCTCCTGACAATGTAAATTGAGCTGATGAATGCTCAGGAAAGCTACAGATAGCAATGACAAAAAGTGAAAGAAGAAGACACATTTTGCTGTGGGGAAGAGCAGGGAGTTCTGCATATGTAAGAAAATGCTGATGTTTGCCATTTCCAGTTCTTTTAAAGTGTTCAGTATGTGGGATGGCTGGAAAACTGGAGAATTGTTTGCATGGATTTGTATGTAATTATTTTATGTTGTCATGGGGTGATACAAGTATGTCCCCCGGGCTTATGGTTCAATTCTGCTGGCATTCAGGGCTGTGTCGTGTGTCAACTTTAAATTCTTATTCCATCTGTCTCCCAAGCAGAAGGTATAGCATCTCCCAGAAGGACTGACAGGAAATCAGGCATGTAGATAGTTTAGGATGGAGACTCACACTTTATAACGGCCAGTCAAAGGAGACATTGCTGGTCAGGAAGCAGACCCTAAAGGGTTCCTCACCTCTCTCTGCAGGATTTGAATCACAGCAGACTATAAATGAAGGAAAGCTGGTTTTGAATTCAAATTATCAAATATAAAAGGAAAAACAAATCAAATCTATGAAGAAGTAAATATTACTATTGTGGTAATATTAGTGTAATTTTGAGAACACCTTCACATGAGACTGTAACAGTTTAAGGAGAAGTCCTGACGTCACTATTTTAGGGCAATGAGGAATTGGCTACAAATGTATACATACACCCCCAGAATGAGTTTAAAGAAAGATGAAATTTATCTGATGGGATTAACTACAGATATGTATTGCCTACTCGACAAAGTATTCATGGTCATGGGTTAGAGGCTTATCGCCTGCTTATCCCCAAATTCCGCAATGCCAAAATATTAGATGCTATTTGTGGGTCTTTCCCTCCATCCCAAATCCATCATTGTGAATTTTCCAGTGGCAGCTAAAGTTTAACGTAGAGAAGTGTGGACATGCATTTGAAAAAAAAATAGGGAGACTGTCCTTAAAGTAGGGAAGGGGTAAGGGGAGGTTTAGTGGTATTGTTCAAAATTACAAAAGGGTTTGATAGCATTAATAGGAAAAAGCTGTTTCCACAGTTTGGTAGGTTGATAATCAGAGGTCACAGATGTACCATCATTTGCAAAAATATCAAAGGGAGATAAAGGAAGCATTTTGTTAGCAGCATTCATTAGTAATATTGAAATGAAAATTAGTCCTAAAATCGAATTGAATTAAGTTTATTGTCACAGAGTACAGTGAAAAGTTTACAAGTCGCCACTTACCGTGCCATCTTAGGTACAAAGGTACCCAGGTGCAGAATCTTGGCACAAAGCAGAAAAATAAAGAGAATGAAGTGAAAAAGTGAAAACATCACAGTCCTTCTTAATAAACAGTAGAAAAACTAAGAAACACAGTTAACGGTTTAACACCATAGTCCATAAGTGCTTTGTTATGCTGGGGTCGCATTCCTCCGAAGGGCTTGACCTCTCCCACTCTGGGCTGCCGGCTCCCGCTGTCTTGCAGCCTGTTCCTGTTCTCGCCCTCGCTGCTGGCCGCCTCAGGCTGCCTGTTCCTGTTCTCACTCGCTGCTGGCCGCTTCAGGCTGCCTGTTCCTGTTCTCACTCGCTGCCAGTCGCCTCAGGCTGCCTGCTCCCACTTTCGCTGCCAGTCACCATGGGCCACATGTTCCTGCTGTCATCACCCCTCAGGTTGCCGTCGACACCGGGGACCTCTCTTGCTGCCACATTGAGCTTGCCCTCTCTGCACTGGCTCAATATCCTCCGCACTGCACAAGAAAACAAAAGAAAGAAAACAGCAGTGAAAGAAGTGGAAAAAAATGTGAAAGAGAAAGAAAGTAAAAGTGACTGAGCCGACAAGTCCCAAGCAGGAGTCCACATGCTGGACTGCTACTCTGCCGCCACCTTAATAGGATCTTGATAGGAAATTCTTGAAAATGAGAAATTTGCAAAGCTGTGGGAAAAGAATGGGGTTGGGGGTGTGTCTAGACTAATTTGGACATGCTTTCAAGGAGCTGCCACAGGCATGATGGACTGAATGGCTGGTTATGACATAAGATACTATGATCTCCAGTTTTGCCTATGTCTAAGCCTCTATTGTATCTGCAATCTTTCAGTGTTTAGCCTTCCATCGCCAGTGTCTCCATGTCTGCATCACTCTAACGATGATTGAGTAACTGGGCCCATGAGGATTTTATTTTTCTTGTGTCATTCTCTGCTTTGCTCTTAGATCTGACATATTAAGTCACTGATCCAATGCTCAAAGGTTATTTGGTTTAATTTAGAATTCATCATTATTGGATAAAGTTAGAGTCACAATTTAACAACAAGTGACAAGTAAACCACTGATTATAAATCAAGGCCTAGTTGCCATGGGCAAGAGCTGAACATTTGGAATATTTCTTCAACACAGAGCCTCTCTGACTAAAGAGAGAATTAAATCCAACAGGGAATCACAGGAGGGAGCTGCATAGCCATTGAATTTCGAAGGCTTTCAGAGCAAATCAAGGTCAATAGCAAGAGGATTTATAAGAGCTGTTACTATGGAAACATGCATGAGCCTATTTTATATGTCAGAAAAAAGCACTTTATATCATAAGCATTTTCTTAACCTAATGGGATGGCTATAGATGACAATGAGGGACTGTTCAAACACATCAATTCTCCCATTTGGCTTTCAATTTCCCATACAGGTCACAACCTACCACCCTTTACCTTAGAATGTCCTGTATATATACACTTTACTATGAATTGCAGCATCTCGCAGTTTTTTTGTATTTTTAATGGAGGCTTTCGCTGTTGCTTAGAATTCTGGGACAGTTCTGCATTCAAAGCTTTCCCTTGCTGTCCTTACAGAAAAACATGAGAATAGATTTAAGAACTTTCAGCTAGGGACCCTGTGAAAAGAAATATACAAAAATGAGATGCTGGAAATCAAAATGAAGAGGAAAGTGGATAAAATATAAAGCAGGTAATTAAACATCTCCCACATAAAATATTTATAGGATTGGTACTGCTATTAAAGTAAGAGTGTAAGGGCAAAAGAGATACAGAGTAGAAAGAGACAGTAAATAAACAGTACAGACTGAGGGAGAGAGTTAAACACAGAGAGAAGGTGAACAGATGAACAACGAAATCTGCATTTATAATCACAATCCAGTGATGTCCTAAAGGCTTTAAAGCCACAATGACAATGAGTACTTTTTAGAAAATTTCACAGTTGTAGAAAACACGACAATTAAATTGCTCACAGCAAACTCCCTTAAACAGCTACAAAAACAGAAGTTACTGGAAAACTTTGCAGGTCTGGCAGCATCTGTGGAGAGAAATCAGAGTTAACGTTTCAGATTGAGTGACACTCAGAACTCAGACTCTTACTTAATGTTCTGAGGAAGGGTCACTGAACCTGAAACATTAACTCTGATTTCTCTCCATAGATGCTGCCAGACCTGCTGAGCTTTTCCAGCAACATCTGTTTTTGTTTCTCATTTACAGCATCTGCAATTCTTTCGGTTTTTATTCCCTTATAGTGCTGTGTATTAATGATCAACTAATCCATTTTTAGTAATGTTGGTTGAGGAATAAATTTTAAATTGTTGCCATCGGCAATCACTTGCTAATGAGCATGATATGAGAATTTTGTATGGGGGAATTGAATTCCTCTAGGTAGATGACTTGCACGGGACATCTTTAAATGTGGAAATACTGTTACACATCAGCTGACACACAGTTCTAGTGGCAAGGAAATCTTGACAACTGGGGATCTCCCCACTGCCACAACCTTCATCCACTGTCACAGTTGTTGGTATCACTTGAATATCATTAACCTGGATTGCTATTGAGGACTTGTTTTGGATTAGTTTTAAATATCATGGGTGGCTTTGAGAGAATGGTGAGATCAGTAGGTTGGGTTGAGGGATAAGGTGGGTAGATGACATTAAGGGATTGTGAGAAGGAGCGTGGTGGTAGTGGTATGTTACAAACCACTCAACGAGCGCCCTTCTCACCAGCATCCAAGCTACACCTTGGTATTTATTGGAAAGTTCCGGCAATGAGGCATTCTGCCAAATGACTGACAGTCTGCTCAGGGAGCCACTCAACATGATCAGCTTCTTCTGTTCCCACAGGGTTTCGAAGACTACGTGCTGAACACAACTTGATGGACTTGTGGTTGAAGGTGTTGTCCCTATGAAATTTTTCCATGAGGGACAGGTGATATGAAATGGTCCAACTATTTATGGTGTTCCATGCCAGTGAGGCCAGACTCATTCTTTCTAATGCCAGGGACAGGTAGAACCCCAGTATGTCAGTGATACTTGATGTTTGTGTACCAAGGATCTTGATGCAGCAACACATGAAGATGGCCATCAGGATGAGGGCAGCGTTGGATACATTCTTCCTCCCCTTATCCAGGGCTTGTACATTACTTAGTAGACACAGTCCACCTTTGACCTCCAGATGAAGAGGAAGATGGTTCAGGTGATTCAGTAGGACAGGCTTGAGGAATAGGCCAGAACTGTACCATGTACAACAACAGAGCGTACCTTACACCTGATGACAAGTTTTTATCCACAATAGAAAGGGAGCAGTGCTCCCATCTGCCCAGTTGCTGCCTCACTTTGCTGATAAGCTTGTCTGAAGTTTTGGCGCAACCCCGGCCCATCCAAACCATATGCCCAGCACCTCCAGATAATTTGACTTGAAGGTGAAGGGGATAAAAGATTAGTCAGACCAGTTTCCAAGGAACATTGCCTCACTCTTACCGTGATTTACCTTGGCTCCCAAGGCCTGTTTGAACTGGTCACAGACGCTCATGAGTCTCCGGCCTGACAGCAGATCTGAGCAGAAAATTGCAACGTCAGCCATGCACATGGAGGCTTTAACCTGCAGGCCTCTGCTGCCTGGAATAGTCACCTCTCTTAGGCTCGCATCCTTCCTGATGAATTCAACAAAACGTTCTAAACAACACATAAACAAGGCAGGAAAGAGTGGGTGGCCCTGCCTGACTCCAGATCTGATCGGAAAGCTTTCTGATTCCCACCAATTGATTGAGTCACATCCAATGCGGATTCCCTCTCCAAAGCCCATTTTGAAGAGCACATCCCTCATGTAGGTGTGTGATATCCTGTCAAAGGCCTTCTCCTGGTCCAGGCTGATGACACCAATCTCCAACCTCTGTCCTGCACCCAGGCGATTGTATCCCTAAGGAATGCAAGGCTGTCAGCAATCATCCTGCCTGGTATAGCACAGGTCTGGTCAGGGTGAATCACCAATCCCAGAGCAGACCTGACCCGGTTGGCAATGACTTTAAGCAGGATTTTATAAAATACACATTCAACAGTGAAATTGGTTGCCACTTACAAATGTCTTCTCACTCCCGCTTCCGCTCGTAGATGAGGGTGATGATACCGTTCCTTGTAGATTTGCACATGCAACCTGGCAGAAACGTCCTGCTCAAAGATAGAGATACTACACATTGCATCATAAGATCTTCCCCAACAGGAGATTATATGTGGAAGGGTAATCTTCCAATACACTTAACATGGTAGGGTTAGGATATGAATTTGGCCATTTTTGTCTAGATTTTTCCTTTGTGCTGACCTAAGTTTAAAAAAAAGATTGACCTTGGAGTATTTTTAACTTCAAACATTGTTCCATTACCGGTTTGGTTTAGATGTTGCTCAGCAGATGTAAAAATTGCAAATATCCCTCAAATGAGATTGCATGATTATTTGAATAAGAAGAACACAGATTAAATGTTCACAACGAAAATCAATGAGTTTCTGTTTCCACAGAAGAATCCATTAATGTGGAAACTTGTTGCAGTTCAAGATGAATTGCTGTCTCTTACAATTGATTTTTTATCTAGTGATGGGCAAGGGTTCTGTGACTGAGACTCAGGGGCTTCATGGAATCAATGCACAGTACATGCTGCCTGGAGTCTACAATATAGGAGACCTGTTTCCTTTCCATACAGTCCCTGTTGGGTTTGCTCATAGGTCAAAGCCCGAAGAGGTGACTTGTGACAGGTAAGAAACTGTACTCTGATTGAATAATTTTAAATTCTCTTCACCTCTTCATTTGATTCTCACTGTAGTTCAGATCATCTACTCTTTTGCAGGTGCTGACTCTTCCAAAATTCACGACCTTTTTTATAAAAAACTACATTCTGATTTCAACCTTAATATCTTCGCTATAACTTAAGACACTGTTTCCTTGTTTTTAATTCTCTCATCAGCAAGAATCTGTACATATCTCATTTAATCCCTTAATCATTATAAACATCTCAATTAGATCATTTCTTATACTTCTATACAAGCCTAGTCTATGAGTCTGTCCTCATAATTTAACTTACAGCAAATCTGTGCTGTACCTATTTCAAAATCAATTTATTTCCTAAAGCCACAGTAGCTCATGCATTTGAAGAGGCCAAATGTCAGGCTAGCTGTCGACAGCATGACTTACAGCCATGGGTGAGGTATAGAGAATACTCCTGTTCTCTAGGTATAAGTTTAAATATTTACAATAATGATGAAAAATGTGATATTTGATATCCCTACATATGGGACAAATGTGGGTTCAGTATTTCACTACCCAGCACTACCTCCAGTAGTAAATCACAAGAATAATGATAAGGATCAATTGTCTTAACCCAGCCCTGGTTGCAGCTGATTCACCCAAAATCAAGCAGAAATGCAGTGGATGTACTCACACTGAGTGTCAGTAGGCTGGTCAACCACAGAAGGCAAGTTTATGTGTTCAAGCATTGCTTCGGAGACTTGAGCCCATAATCTAGGCTAACACACACTAGTGCAGTGCTGAGAGAATGCTTCTGTGTCAGAGGTACTGTCTTACGGATGAGATATTAAACCAAATCCCAGCTGATAATAGAGAAGGCAAATGGAATATTGGCCTTTATTTCAAAGGGAATGGAATATAAAAGTTGGGAGGATTTGCTAAACTGTACAAGGCACTAGTTATACCACAGCTGGATCACTGTGAACAGTTTTGGGTCTCTTATCAAAGATAAGATATACTAGCATTGGAGGCAATCCAAAGAAGATTCAATAGGCTGATACCAGGTATGCAGGGACTGTCTTATGAGGAGAGATTAAGTAGATTAGGCCTGTACTCATTGGAATAAAGAAGAATGATTGGCAACTTCATTGAAACATACAAGATCCTTACAGGACTTGATAGGGAAAATGCAGAGAGATTGTTTCCCCTTGTAGGAGAGTCTAGGACCAGAGGCATCATCTCAGAATAAGTGGTTGCACATTTAAGACAGAGATAAGGATGAATTTCTTCTCTGAGAGTTATGATTTCATGGAATTCTTTACCATAGAAGGCTGTTGAGTCTGAGTCATTAAATATATTCAAGGCTGAGACAGACACGGAATCAAGGGTTACGGGGAAAAGGCAGAAAAGTTACATTGAGGATTATCAGTTCAGTCATGATCTCACTGAACTGTGGAGCAGACTCGATGGGTTCAGTGGTCTGCTTCTGCTCCTATGTCTTATGGTTAAGTATTTTGGAATATTCTGATGTCATGAAAAGTACTATATAAATGCAAGTTATTTCCAAAAGTACAAAATGTTACTTTTAATCAACCTGCTTAGGTTATGACAGACTTGTAGGTAGGTAGGACTTCAACATGGACCTTCTAGCCCAGAACTAGGGGCATTACTAGTGCACATGACCCACCCACCCAAAAGCACATGTTGTCCTTATTCTGTCTGTTGATTATTCCTTGTTTTGGATGTGTGACAAAGTTAATTGCACTCATTGCGGACAGCACAATACCGAATTACTCAATGGGTCAAGCCTGCCCCAATTACGCAGAATTAATGGGGATGATTTTGGTCGCTGGGCAAAAACAGATCCTAAATGAGTGCTATGCTAATGAGAAATGCTCACTTGAACTACCAGATTTAGTATTCAATTTTTGGCCTCATTGATGAGCATTTTGATTTAAATGTACATGCAGGCTTTAACCCTGGTTTTGTACTCAACTGGTGATTAGACACAATTTTTATGGAGTGATTTATGTGAGCTCCTTGTACAAATTTTCACTAAAGGTGTGAACTGCTCTCGCTGACACAGCAGTACAGTAGCAGGACACTAGGACTGAGCAGTGAGGGGACAGTTTATTCAACATAGTGCTGGAGGTTCTGGTGGAGGAGGTTGAGAATAGGAGGGATATCCTGCAACTGCATGGAGAAATAACATCAGCTCACCTTCCTCTGCTTCACTTTGCAGCAGCTGATACTGCTTTGTCTCGGCTCATTATTCTTCAGCTAAGGAGCACTACTAATAAGATGCCAATGACCAAACACTCCTTCTCCAGGTGACCCATCTAAGGTTACAACTTAGCTATTCCTTTTAGGTGAAGTCATCAGAGAATTTCCATTTGTTGTTCAAATATTGATAAAGTCTTAACAAAATGCCCCAGTATGTCTGTGCATTTGACAAGGCCCATCTTCACTGTTCCAGGAACAGTTAAATGAAAGGTCAGAATTACGCGGTGAGGATACTTTTAAGTAGTCTTCAAATCCACATCAAGCAAATGTTTACTCTCAGGTAGCGGGTTGCTGTTTGGAGCGGATATTAGGCGGAGCACTAGCCACCAAAATGCGATATAACCTTCTTAATGAGTGCTAGCAGCCATTATATGGAGTAACTAACTGTTTAACTAACACAGTGCTGGTTACTCCTTTACCAAATGGTGTATAATGCAAAATTCAGGGTAAATTGGCATTTTGGCTTAAGACCCCATATTGCCTGACTGTTTAATCTCTAAAATATTCAGCAAATACTCCTTCCTCCCTTTGTCTCTCCAGATTAGGTCACATCAGGTCACCAGCAGTGCCTATTTCTTTCTTTCTCATGTCTCCCTGTCCCTATTTGTTACTCTCTCTCACAAATTCTCCCTCTGTAAATCTTTCTCTTTCTCCTCCTCTGCTGTCCCCTCTTATTTTTCTTCACTAATGCAGCCACACTCTGTTCACTATCCTTCCTCTCTATTTCTGTATTTTTGTCCCACTTACAGGATTTTCTTTGTATTTTCTCATTCACTATTGCTGCCTCCATCTCTCTCTCTCTCTCTCCCCCTCTCTCTTTCTCAGTTACTAGTTCCTTCTGGCTTTTACAGCTGTCTGTTCCAGGTTGATATCCACATGCCATTAATTTCTCATTTATCTCCATTTAAGCTTTTATCCTGTTGGTTATGGGAATTTTCTGGCGATGACATTTGCGATTGATGAAATAAATAACTCCACCTCTCTTCTGCCGGGTGTGCAACTGGGTTATGAAATCTACGACGACTGTTTTGAGACACTGGCCTCCATCCTACCCAGCTTTCTATTGTTATTGAAAGACAAGAGTAATGGGATTGATGTGCTCTGTAATTACACAGAGTACAGAAACCGTGTGATTGCTCTGATAGGACCTTGGACATCCGAACAAGCAATTGTCACAGCCAAACTATTCAGCTTATTTTTAATTCCACATGTAAGTAGTGTTTTCATGGTTTGCTAAATGACCATTTCTTGTGTTGTGACAATTAGGAATTAAAGTCTCCAGGGCAGAAACTAGTTGTGAATGACAGCATAAAACAGGTGGTAATGAAATTTCAGCAAAATTTACACAATACTGAAGTTCATAAAAGAAGGAAATTAAGTTGGATATTAAATTCCCTGTTGAATCACTATCATCCACTTTGTGCAACCACTCAAAGTGAATTTTTATCCCACTGTCTAATAGTAGTTGTATAAGTCCTAGGCTGATGTATGGAATATTCTTTGTTCCAACCTTACCCAAGATTTCCCCATTTTACCAGTACATTCACAACTATATTTTCATGCTT